TACGCGATCAGATGCGGCGGCAGCACAACACGGCTCCTTCCTTCTGCGCCATCGGGTAAACGAGGGACCGGAGGGGAATGCTGCGCGCTGGCGCAATCACACCATGGGAGTCTGGAGGCAGCCCGTGGCAAACGTTTCCTGTAAGTTTTATTTTTATTTTTACAAAGTATATTCACGCATATACTTATCATTACATACATATATCTTGTCGGAGTCTATTACATATTCTTTCCTTTATCCATTTGTATATCCCATCCCATCTTTCTTGAAATATTTTATCATCTTTTCCTTGTAGAATTACATTCAGTTTGTCCATTTCTGCCACATCCATGAGTTTCATAGCTAGTTCCTTTGTCGTTGGAATCTTTTCCTGTTTCCAGTATTTTGCTATTAAAATTCTATCTGCTGTGAAAATATAGGTCAATACATATACCTCCTTTTCTTTACATTCCTTGGGAATCATATTTAACAAGTAAATCTCCAGACATGGTTTTACATAAATATGAAGCACTTCCATTATTATCTTATTTACATTTTGCCAAAATCTGTATATCTTTCCACAATTCCACCACATGTGGAAGAAAGTCCCTACATTCGTTTTACATCTCCAACAGTTTTTATTTGTGGTTTTATATGCTTTTGCTATCTTTTCAGGAGTCCAATACCACCTATGAAACATTTTAAAGATATTTCCTTTAAAGGATATTGCTCTCATTAATTTCATTGATTTCCATATTTTTTGCCAATCCTCCGACTGAACAGTCTTTCCCAAGTCTTTCATCCACAAAATCATAGAATTTTTTATAGCTTCATCATATAGATATTCATCTAATAATAAGTTGTATATTTTTGAATTAGTTTATCATTGGAGGAAAGCCAAATTTTGTCAAGCTCGGATTATATTTTAGAAATTCCACAGTTTTGTCTTTATTATATCTGTCTTGCAATTGTACTTGCTCCCACCATGTAAGGTAGAGGTTCTTAGTTTTTAAGTATTCTATGGATCTTAGTTTGTTATCATCATCTAGCAATAGCTCATACGTCATAGATTTTTCTTTTAACATTAATTTTGGATTTATAAACGATTCTAAAGGTGAGACCCATCTTGGTATTTTTGTATAGTGAGTATCTTTTATATGTTCCCATGTTTTCATTAAAGCTGTTCTAATAATATGATTATGGAAGTTGGCATGAATTTTATCTTTTCCATTTTATCTTTTCCGTACGCATGCCAACCCATATAAAGGTCATGACCTTCTAGATATAATGTTCTCCAGTTTTCTAACTGAATCCAGTCTTTGACCCAACCCAACACGGCCGCTTGATAGTAAAGACACCAGTTTGGAAGTCTCAAACCTCCTCTTTCTTTTTTATCTTGTAGTATCTTTAGGGTGATTCATGCCCTTTTTGGGTGCCAAATAAATTTCCTTATAATTTTTTCTAATTCCGTAAAATATTGATTCTTTTTTAGTATTGGTAAATTTTGAGCGAAAAATAAGAACCGGGGTAGGATATTCATCTTGATTGTCGCTATTCTTTTCATTAACGATAACTGAAGATCTTTCCAGTTATGTAAATCTTTCCTTATTTCCTCTTTTAATCTGTTGTAGTTGTTTTCCATTAACATGCTGTTTCTATTTGTTAAGGTTATTCCTAGGTATTTAACTTTATTTGCAATTTGCATTTTTGTGGAGTTTTAGAGTTCATTTATTAATTCTTGCAGACAGTTTTTAGTTAGTATTTTAGTTTTGTTAAAGTTGATTTTTAGTCCAGCTATTCTTCCATAATCTTGAATTTCTTGTAACAACCTTGGGATTGTTAATAACGGTTTCTATAATAAACACTAAGTCGTCGGCAAATGCTTGAAGTTTATATTCTTCATCTTTAATTTTCAGACCTCTGATCTTTCCATTTTGTCTTATATTATCATTAAAAGTTTCTAATACAAAAATAAATAGTAGCGGTGAAAGTGGGCTACCTTGTCTAGTACCTTTTTGAATTTCGATTTTTCCTGTTACTTCACCATTCACTAGCATGCTTGCCTGCTGTTTTTTTATATACTGCTGAAATCATGTTTAGAAAGTTACTTCCACAGTCCCATAGTTCTAATTTTATTTTTAGGAAATCCCAGGAGACATTATCAAAAGCTTTTTCAGCGTCCAAAAAAAATAGTACCATTTGTTTGTCTACTTTTTTAACACACATTTTCGGCAGTAAGCCACGGGTGCGCTCCACTTCCCAGATGTTGGGGTGTGATCGCGCCCGGATAATCCGCCCACCATCCGTGCCTCTCCCGCTGCAACTTTGCCGTGTGACCGGGGCCTATGACACATTTCTGCTGAAAGAAATCTCCAAGGCAAACAAACCTCTCACAGTTAAGAACTGAGTCTCTAAGAATATAATCTTCAACTATACTATGTTGCCTGTACAAAGTATTATAATTTGTATAAACAACCTAATTTACCTCAACTTCTTGTCCCCTGCCCTATTCCTAACCCAACTGTGCCTGTTCAATAAACCCCACTGTTGTTTCTCAAAGGGAAAAGCTGCTTCAGCTCAAACAGCCTCTAGGTGGATTGTTTCTACTATAAAGGCCTACGAATTGGCATCAGTCCAGTGCCCTTTAAATTTACAGGTGCACTCCACAAGAACTCAGGCAACATGTACTGCATTTAGACAAGGCATTCCAATGACTGACTTGTGCAGGGCAGCAACATGGTCGTCCACAAACACCTTTGTAAAGCACTACTCTGTAGATGTCAATACAAGAAGGGAGATATCAGTGGGGATGGCAGTTCTACATTCCATATTCCAATAGATCACTCACCTCACTGCCTGGTAAGCCAGCTTGCTGGCCTTTCATGTGGGACTGCACAAAGCAATTACAATTAACACAGTGTTACACTTACCTGTAACCAATGCCCCCTCTAAGCTGTGGAGTCTTGTGAGCAAAAAATCTACTTTGTGAGCTACTGGCATTGAAGCTGTGAGCGAGTGATTTGGCTACTGCATAACTGAGTTTGCTCCGGAGCCCTCCTTCTTGCGCTAAGACAAAAATGTGTGAGCCGGAGGCTAAAAAACTGTGAGCTAGCTCACACTAACTCAGCTTAGAGGGAACACTGCCTGTAACTGTTGTTCATCTAGTTGTCTCTGTACAGGCATCCCTCCCTTCTACCCTTCTGTGAGCTCCTTAATTATGTATTTTTGGCTCGTAGCAATGGCCCAGGAGAAATGAGGGAGGGGACCCCTCCCAGGAGCAAATGACTGCTAGGTGGGGAAACGGCTTCTACGGCTCCGATTGGGAGGGGGCCCTCCTGCTCTGTTACTAAGCTAACTAGAAATCTTCTGGTGGCTGGCCTGTGTGCGTGCGCAATACCATGTGTGCCTGTACAGAGATAACTAGATGGACAACAGTTACAGAGAAGTGCAACACTGTTTTTAATTGAGTTACAAAATTAGAGAACAATGTGCCAAAGCATTTTATTTGCAGAAGTCCAAGGCAGGGGATTTGCAGAAGTCCAAGGCAGAAGTCCCTGTGCCATGTGTGTGTGAGTGGGCCGAACTGACCTTACATCCAGTTCAAAGAGTGGAGGAAATAACTTTTCTGTCGAAATAACTTTTAAGGGTTCTGCACAGAGTGGTGTTAGCAATATGTTGTAAGAATATGTTGTAACAATATGAACTGGCCTTTTGTGGAGAGTAGTATTTCTCTAGAGGCCATCACTGCACATGTGCAGAGATATAACACTGTGCCCCATGCCCTCTCATCTGCGACATGGGTATCCTGCAGGAGTTTACAGATTGTGCTTAGGAGAGCTGCGATTGGCTGAAGACTCAACTGGTATCCTAAACTACACCCATTGAGCTTATGCCAACTTTTTTGTCAGTATAACATTATGCTGGTACTGGGAGGAGGGTGGTACATGGGGTGAGGGGGCTTAGGACATTTATCAGTTCTACTTTTCTCCTGCCATGCTCAATACTGCCTTTTTTTGGCATCCTGCCACCATCAATGTATCTGGGGGCAGTGCGACTGTGGCTCAGTGATGGAACATCTGCCTTGTAGGCAGAAGGTTCCCAGTTCAGTCCCTGGCACGCCCAGTGAAAAGGATCAGGTGGAAGCTGATGTGAAAGACCCACTTCCATATTCCATAAATGACCCACATTAAAAATTCTATGAAAAGGGAGCCAGTTGTCAATATTTCATGCTGGGTATGGGAAGGCCCTGTTCTAAGTGTGGGCTGTGCCGGAGCCAGTTGTCAATATTTCATGCTGGGTTCTAAGTGTGGGCTGTGCAATCTACCATGTTAAAAGTCTTAATAATTCCTTCAAAGATTTGAAGAAATATTCAAGGAATGTTTTCACTCAAGACAGAGAGGCCTGTTTTCAAAGAACTATGCGAAAGGCTATTCACAATTTAGGGGGATCTGGGCACATTTCTGGGATGGCGGCACCCTGTGTTAAACCCCCGTGTAGAAAGGAGGGGGGTTTCCAAAGCAGAAATGTCAAGACTTCACCAACAAAGGGGGTGGTTTAAAAATCCCGCTGGGCTGCCCAAGTCCTCAAACCAAGAAGAAAATGGCACATGTAAAACGAAAGAGCAATAAGCGCTCTGAGAGAACCTCAGACCGGCTTCTGTTCCAGGGCGTTCCGCGCTCTCCTCCGACCTGCTTTCAGTATTCCCTCACGACGACGACGACGAGAAACACTGGGAAACAATCGGATTGTTCTCTGCAAATTGGTGCCTGAGGCTCGCGCCCGCGCGCGTGAGAATTCCCGACGCTTTCCCACCGGGGCCCCGTTTTCTCCCCCAAACTGCCTTAGAGCAGCATCGCTGGAGGAGCCAGGCAGGCTCCCCAAAGCGTCTCTCTCCCCATAAGGCTCTTCATCTCCATCCGCCATTCCTTCCCGTTTCAGCCGTCAGTCGATGCGGGGTGGGTGGTGGTGGGTGGGGAGGCTCTTCTTCGCCGAGGAACTGAAACCTCCATTTCCGCCTCGCCCCCAACCCCGGCTCTGCCCCCACTTTCCACCCGCCGCCACCGCTGCTGGAGGGAAGTGAAAATGAAATCGACTTTTCTGAGAAATGATGAAAGCGGCGGCGCCTGCCAATGAACGGCTGCGGCAAACTTCCGCACCTCTCTCTGCTGCCAGCCCCTGCCTCCCCCTTCGCTCGCTCTCTCGCTCTCTCGCCCGCCTGCTGCACAAACAGGCCTGGAAGAGGCGGGGGGGATTTCCAAGATTCAGCGCCTCGCGGTTTCCTTTTCCTTGTTTTGCTTTCGATCTGGACTCATCGCCGCCAAGAAGCAGAGGAGGGGAATAACTTTTAGTTTTGCTCCTGCGGATTTATTCAGCCGCCTGGTTTTCCTTTCCATTTTGCGTCTCTTGGCAACCGTGGTAACCTTGAGGGATTACATTAACATACCCTGAAACAAACTTATTGGTAAGGTACCCAAACGATTACTCCTTTACAAAGAATAATAACGCGATGGATTTGTCTCTTGGGCTTGGGGGGTGTTTCTTATCATCTCCCCCATTTGCTTGACACCTTGCCTTTCTCTCCCCCCCCCCCCCCATCAGTATATATGGATTTGGTTGAAAACAAAAATAAAAGGCTGGCGCCGTCGCGGGTCATATGATTTTTAGGTGCAGTCGCTGGCGGGAGAAAGCGAGGCTTTTGATTTCACTTTTGGATTTGCAGAGGCGGGAGAGGGATCGGCTGGAAGGGCGCGTGGCTCTCCTTCGAGTCGGCGTCCGAGTCTCGGGGGGGGGGCTCCGCAGTTTCTCCCGGGGGGCGCGCGGGAGTGACTACAGATGCCCTCTGCGGAAACAAAGGCGGGAAGCGGTCCTCTCCCCCTCCCTGCCCGCTTCGACCGCGGGGGGAGCGAGGAGCGAAGGACGCCGGATTCGGGGGGAAGCTTTAAATGCCGAGCGGAGCACCAGCAAGCCCGGAAGACGCGGCCGCCGGGGAGAGGGCTCGCCACTGGGAAGGAAGGGCAACTTTCTCCAGCTGGCACCTGAGGTTATTACGCATGGAGCTGCTGAGCTGGACACTTGTTGTTTTCGACCCGGGCGTTCCGCGTGTGCTGCGGAGCAGTCGCTCTCGCTCTCTGGCAGCGGCGGGTCAGCAGCCTGGGCGGCCGCGGGAGCCGGGTAAGCGGGCGAGGAGAGCCCTGGCT